ATGGATCAATTACACCTGGCGCGCCTTTTACTCCACTCTTTCTCAAAGTATAGCCCATGAAAATTCCTGTCATGGCTTTTGGATAACCAGGAAGCATCCATTCCAGAATCGTATCCCCTAATGAACCGGCTTGCTTGACTGGTTCATCCTCGGGGTGACGGTCACCACACGGCTCCTCTACATCGTCGCTTCTTCACACATCTGCATCATGGCACATATGGTTGGGTCTCTATGTACAGGGGGTCAGTGCTCACCCAGCATAGAAACTGAGGCAAAGTCATCAAACGACTGTCGTCTAGTCTGAATCCATTAGACTGTATCCCTTTGCTACTCAGAAAAAATTGAATTTGATCAGACCGACTTGGAGTCAGCACTGTATCTTCATGTTGCGTCTTAATGTAGCATTTGCTCGTTATCCCTAAACAGCATACTGTCCCGATTTTCCATCTTCGCCATCCCTTCATATAAATAATTTTATCACCTATATATATATATAGAAATTTTATCTATATTTCTACCACAGATATTTAAACTTTAAAATATATATGGCCATTATACCATATTCTTTTGTCTTTTTACCTAATTAATCTGCCTCAGATTGAGATCTCCATCTCTACCACGAGAAACGGAATACTTCATTAAGGATTCATTTGGAAATATAATCCTCTTTCTCTTCCATTCTATAGTCTACTGATTTATTTTTTATTCCCCATCCTATCAACCTCTTACAAACTCACCCATATGGGTATTTATCTTAATTTTATTGACTCGTTTGCTTCTCCTTGACTCCGCATTCGTGTTACCCTTTCTGTGCTTGTCGATCCAGCTTCGCGAGCGGCTCGAGGAGTCGCTTGGTAAATCATTACACGATTATCGCCACTTTATCGAGAAACAGGTGCTGCATATATATGGCCAGATGGACGAGGCCAGTGTGATCTTTGATCATCTTTTGCTCGGCACTACTTTCAATGCGTCCAACAAGGCAGAACTGGAGCGCCGCGAGGTCTCGCACATTTTGAATGTTACTCGTGAAGTGGACAATTTCTTTCCGGCAGATGGATTTTCCTATAAGAACATTAGAGTATTTGATGAAGAAGAATCGCAGCTTCTGCCTTACTGGGAGGAAACGCACCGGTTCATCAATGAGGCAAGGTAACTATTCATTTACATTGCTTTTGTTTATCAACCATGCCCTTACCTTTATTTTAACATACAGTATAATAGAGTTTGGAGGACGTTTTAAAGTTTTAACCAACCCACTTATGAATTTGAACAGAATAAATGCATATATGGCAGGTTTTATGATTAAAACACGATACGAGTCATTGAGCCCTTTTAACTTTTTATTCTTGACTTGTATTCACAAATGTATTCTTAATAAATTCTTCATTGTCATCACTTATCTGAATGCTTTGTGTACTCTCAATTGATCTACTTAGCAACTAATACCGGCTTTCGCTTATTTTTTTAGGCAAATGGGTAAGCGGTGTTTGGTGCATTGCAAAATGGGTATTAGTCGATCTGCTTCAACGGTAAGTTGCGATAGGTCATTGTTATCCCTAAATCCCGATTTCAGTTTATTAATTCTAGAAAAAATTTATTTAGTATTTTTCTAATTATCTCTTATCTGAGCCCTATATCTACGTTAAAGGAGACCTGCTCTAATAAATTTTTAAATTAAAATGTTAGAATGTAGCGTAAAGGTTCTATGGATTCGAAAGTTTACATAGCTCTTTTAGAAATAAAGATATAGTGAGTAATGTTAGGAGAGTGGGGAGATGCACAGAAGAGAATAGCAGGAACCGAGTAGTCGAGACGGTGTGTTGCGTAGCATAGCTATGATGGAAAGTCTCCGTGATCAGACAATGATAATGAGTCAAAACACTGAAGCGCGGCATTGATTCGAAGTTTGTCCGATCAAAGTTTCTTTGCCTTTAGGGAGAGAATAAAATCCTGTTGACGCAGACTTAACACGGTATTTTGAGGAAGTTAATTTGGCTTCAACGCTAAGTAAGCGATGAACTGGTCGGACAAATTTGTCCGATAGGGGTTACAATGCTATTGCAGGGTTTTATCAGAGCTCACTATCTGGACTCGCCACGGACCATCCGTTTAGTCAAAGCTTAATGAGAGGTGCGTGCAGGCAACACCGATCCAAGAAATTCGACACATTGGAGACGTGGATTCAGCTAGTAGTTCTTCCCACTAAATTATTTGTGAGATTTGTGGGTCGGCTTTTGATTTTGTTGACTCGGTTCTGTGGGAAGAGGCAGTCTGGTGGATTTAATGGTGAGCTCAGGTTCATGGCGAAGATGTCTTGATTAACTGTCTGATTAAGTCAAGGCGCTCCATTGACATGAGCGCGTATAGAGCACGATTGTTTTGTGTGTAACAGGAAAATGCCATGTTGCGTGCGACAGTACGGTCGGCTTCAAATCCTTAGGCAAGGTGTTGGTAGGACGACCAAAATGTTTTGTTGGGGGATCGGTTCATCGTTGCTTAATAGAGCCAAACTAATATAGTGAGAAAAAGAGGCTAAATCATTTTAACTTCCTTAGTGCCGGAAATTTCAGAGTTCACCATGGAAAAATAATGAAATCTCACTCATACAAAACCCCTAAGGAGTACGCTTATATTTTATTCAAATATCTTATTCCTTTGATGGAGTCTCTTTCATTTCATTTGAACAGGTGAGTGGAAGGGTTTCGTAATTTGGCCTTACCAGAATCTGTGGGAGGATTGTCTTGTGGCTGTGACTAAATTTGTGCGAATTAACCGAGCGAACAAATCTGCAGTCATAGCTCCAAGGCAATCTTCCCAGAGCTTCCAGTGAGGCCAACTTACGAAACCCTTCCACTCGCCCCTTCAAACGAAATGTAAGGTACATCAGCCTCGATTTCTTAGGGAAGTCTTCGAAACCCACTTTTTTTACATATCTTATTCCTTTATCTTTTTGACAGAATATTTGGTTGTTACCAAGTTCTACTTTTGTTCGTTATACCACTGCGCCAACATTTTAGGGATACTTTCCTTTTCTCTCTTATATAAACTCTTCTACTAACCACTCAAGGGTTTTTATGATCCCTACTAAAACATTTTTCATTACCTTTTATTCTGAAGTTCAAATTTAATTTTTTTTCAAGGAATCGCTGTGGCTTTGGAGACCTAAGATTAATTCATTATTTTATCACCATTTTTCGAATGAACTTTCAGGGAACGAGCTTAGGAAATTTAATGTGAACTACTTATGGCTGTTTGATAGAATTAAAGAGAGGAAGAGGGTTCAGGAAGACTTGACGAGCAAGGAGATTCTTTATTAGCCTCGAATCCACTTAGGCTTTCACACCTCACATGGCCCGTCAGTATTGCGTACACTTAAGACACGGGCAACTGAGCGCACGAGCCAGCATAGGAGAATCAAAAATATAGGTGGCTTTTGTGGATAAATAATTGTTCGGTCACACCATCATTCGCTTAGGCATCCGGAAATGTGTCTTATCAGTCGTCTGATGATTAAGTTGGCAAGAGACACTACAAGGATTATTCTTATTAGTTTCTTCGTAATCTTGGACATAGTAGGGAATGTACCAAGTTCATTATCTAATGCTAGGCATAATCATAGCTACGATGAGAGAGGACTTCGTGCAAGGTGCGTTCGACTAGGTCGCACTGACAATTCGACCAAGTTGGGAAAACGAGATCAAATCACTTCCAAAATTTTTGTTAGCTCATTTGGAATTAACATGAGTTTCTAAATGTGTGATATACATTTTTTCACCAATAGTAAATCAATTTAGTCCGCAAACCTGGTGCTATGAATTATGAGACCTTTAGCTCACTTGGAAAATCACAGGCTCTTACAGAACGACAAAATTTATCTAAAAATTATGTTTGTGTCGCTGAAATACTCTTTCATATTTGCATGATTTATTTTAATTTAATCCATTTTGCTTGCTACTTTATTGTAACTCTTATTTCCTGTTCACTTACAAGTTATAAGTACTTCATATGGCTGCAGTTCATGGCTCTTTTTATTTGTTTTTT